CTTCACCGCAAGGGTGTACACCCTTGATCGATCGCGTACACCGCGAGCTCTAGGACCTCTGGACAACGATCAAGCTCCCTCCTAGACCGTCAAGGTTTTCGTCTATTCGGACGTGGGTTCCGTTCGATTTGCTTTCCTGGCAACGCATGAGTGGGATATTCGTATCGAGGATAGAAGGATCGAGGGGGATCGACAGGAAGCCATGGGGTTGATCGAGCGATCTGAGGGTGGAATGTGGGGGTGTCGGTTTGGGGAACGAGAGGCACTTTCATCGAATTACAGAACGTACACGCTCGGGGAACTGTGTATACCGTCCGTACTCGCCGAAAAACGATTTTGCCGAACCAGAAAGTTCGAGTTGATCGTCTTCCATGGGCAAGAAATCGGGAGCAGCCGACTGGATGATTGCTCGTCGACATTTTTCTGTTTCCTCCGGACGGGGGAGGTAGGAGGGAGGACAAAGAATTGGCGGTGCAAAGGGGGGACACTGGGAAAGAGACAACACCCCCGGGGGTATCATTAGTGTAATGACGGAGCAACTCGCGTGGAGACAGAGAGAGGACAGCTCTGAAGGATTCCTCGAAATCCCTCGATTGTCTTTCTTCCTTGTTCGTTTCCTTCCTTTCGTTTGTTCCCCCTGGAGAGTTTTGTCTCCCGGTGTTATTACGTCTATAATGCCCGCAGCGGCGGCCACCGTCGCAAAAAGGCTAATCGCCGGGACACAAACGGATCCGCGGCTAGTCGACTCTGACGGACCTGAGATCCTCAGGTGCGGATCAGTCCGGCGGGAACACGGTTTTGTCGTTCCATGGGAACTCGCGTGGACGAAAGATCGCTGATCCTGGTAGCAAAAGGTGCTCCATTTAATTTGAATAATTAATATTTTTAATTACTTCAAAATATATGAACGAAAAAAAAAAACAAAATTGTTTTATAACGTATACGCGAATATGTACAACCACAAGCAAATTCGGCTTTAACTAGGAGAAAAAGTGACGTAGGTTAAGGGCCTCCTAGCACTTGGCAAATTTATTTCAAGTACTGAAATAAATGTTAATATGCATGGTAATTTGGCATAAATTTCAGAAACTTCGGAAACCGAGTTTGCTCGTGGGTGTACATAATAATATAAATATATACATGCGTGAGGGCCTAGTCAAGTTATCGGTCGAGGGGGAGGGGGTGCAAAATCCAATTTTTTTCTTCCAGGGTAGATGAAAAGCTACTTCTTCCAACTGTCCCCTGGCTACGCCCATTTAGGTTTATATATCTATTTATATAATAATCCCATTAATCGTCACACAGTGTGCATAGCGTACATGGTCCGTTTAAGGTAGACAAGATCCATATATTCTACAAAATTCATTGGTTCGAGGGGGTCGTGTCTGGCATCCGTGGTCGAGAGTTTGTGGTCCTGTAGGATAGAAGCAAACCTGTCCAAGAAATGCTAGCTCGTGGAACGATCGTTTACCGTAAGTTTGGGATCACGATCGACGGTAGCCCACGACTTCGTGACCGTTTAAACAATCGATCGACGGGGAGATGTATAATTGGAGACGACGCCAGACCAGTGGGAGAAACATACTCGACCGAGAGGGAAACGGAAACTTCCACGGGGAAAGCGTGTGTCCTGTTGCCGATCGATGGGATCGAGGGGATATTCATCGCGACTGTGGCTTGGACTGTGGTTCGCGGGATATTGAGTGGCTCTTGCTGGAAAGAGTATTCTGATCTATCGCTATCGTTTCTGTTTACTTTGACAGGGAGAACGGGAAGGTAGTCTCGGTGATTTATCGCGGAATAGACTGCAGCGAGGGGTAGTGTACCTTTCTGATGGACAGTTACAAGAGGAGGTTCACTCTGTTGGGTATATCGTTTTCGATGAGCTTTAACGTGGTCAGTCCACTGTTAGGGGATGCTGGCCGATTTGCTTTGAACATCGATTTTAAGCTATTCTATCTTATAAATAGACCGCGGGTTTTACACATTTATCCCACAAACGATCCTCTAAACCTCGGTACAGTTAAACTGTTAGATATAAGTACCGAGGTTTTAATTTTTCGTTGAATCGTATAGAAGGTTGAAAAGGGTAAATAAATTTCTATTTGACTCCAATCTTTGTAAAGTAGTCTACGCAAACTTAATATTTCCATAAAACACCTGCAGTCTAAGTGTAAATTATATAACGGAAACAAAGATGGCTTCCACAACGATAGTTACATTGAGAGCGCTAGATATTGACGAGATTTAACCTAGTCAATCTACAGTTGGGGATGAAGAAATTGGCCAACTGGGTAACCTACTTTGACCACCCACCTTAAACTATTCTTCCCCTGATTCGTATATAAAAAACAAACCTGGCTACTTGAAAAAATTTCAACGTTTAGAGTCCATAATACAGTAATGTCTCGATGAGTGCGACATACTTTACATTCGTGGCAAGACGCAAAGGTTTTCAACCCCTCATAAATATCTTTTTTTACCGAAGCCGAGCCTCTACCTTCTGTTTACTTTGTTTTGATTGGTTCCACTGGGGGACTCTCGTGTTGCATTAATCGAGGAATCACTATACTAAAAAAGTTTCATTTTAAATATTTTTCACCACTTCTCTCGTCGACCGTGTCCACACGTTTCAGTCGATCGTCGAACGTGGGACGTCTTGGATTTAATAGAGGAATTTCGTGGTTCCGCTCGCAGTTCACCGTGAAACGCAGTCTGGTCTCGTTACACGGGACGCGCGCACACGTTGGTGCCATTACCCGTAGCGACGGATGCGGTCACTAATTGGAGGACAGGTTTGCAGTACAATTTCGAAATTTACCCGTGAGACACATGGCTGAACGTGGGAGCATTTGCATTCGCGGAAACCGCGGACAACGGGGTATGGGGATGGAAGGGGAGGGAGGAACCAGCACTTCGTAGTCGGACGCCGATTATACGCCACCCTCCCTATATCCCGGGACCGGTGTTTACGCGGGGCAATAGTTTACAGAATTAATCCGACCGTTTGCGTGTTCCCGTTGTCGCCCGAATCCACCGTCACCCCTCCGTTTCTATCTGAGACGTAACCGATTCCGACTGTTCCCCGAATTTGATATACATCTTCGTCGTTCGCCACGGAATACTGTCGAGTTATTCGATAATAAATGCGTAAATATTCTGGAAATAATATTATAAATGTCCCGATTGCCAGTGTCCATAATACGGTCACTTTATTTATTTTAATTATTAAAAAGGTAACGCCTAAAGAATTGTGTACAAGTTTTATTATTACATTGGGATTGCGATTTATTTGGAAAAATGAAAGTACAATTTGTATGTTAAGAATGCGTTACGTAAGTGGGAAGTGATGGCGGAATTATCGTAAGGAAAGAACCGTAATTTTACTATTCAATCTGTATATTATGTTGCACAAAATGAATAGTTAAAGTATATAAGAATTGCATTAATATTCGAGGTGAAAATTATTGGGACACTGGGACAGCCCACAGATTTTAGTTAATTGTCAATTAACCCTCTGCACTGGACTGTCCTCTCTGAAGGAACAAAATGTACGGAAAATTAGAAATTCCGAGTGCAAAGGGTTAATATTTCACATTTAATATGTGAAAACTATATTTTTCCAATGAAAGAGGTGATATTTCTGTTCATTAAATTCATTTTGATACAAGTCTGACTTAATGTTAAAGGCAAGGGGTTAACAAAGCCTCGCAGCACTTTCTCCTAATTAAAAATTTGTTTGAAATTACCCCTTTCAAGGACCTGACCTATTTTCCAACACCCTGTGTAGTGTATACGCAGCTTAAGTGTATCGATTGTCGGAAACACGACGAAACGAAAAATCGTCTTTAGGGTGGGCAGCACGGAAATTCCGTATTCGGCGATAACGACCACGGGGGGATTTCATTACCGATTCCTCGTTAGACAAACCTCCTATTAACCGATTCGCGGAGGCATTCCGCGAGGTTTACGGAAGCAGGATACGCGGCACCGGATCAAAGGGAAATTCCGATACTCTCTCTCTTGCTGGGCGAACTGGGATGGGCGTGCCCCCGGCCACTTAATTAGCGGTTTGCTTGCTACGCGCGTTCTACAGTTCCCGTTTCGCCACTGGCTCGCGAAGATTGTTCCTCCTCCTGTAACGTTCGATCCCGATCGGTCGCGTCGTTCGAAATCGCTGCCGGTATTTCGTTCACCTAATGAACTTCTAAACGCTCTGACCGTTCCAACAAAGCAGAGATAAAAAAAAAAAGAAAACAGGAGGTTCGTTAGGGAAGCTTTGTTCGAATCGAGAAAGTGATCCACCGATCTAGACGGAGACAATTTCCAATCGAATGCGGGGGACATTCTGTTCGAACGAAAACGTTATTGTAGGCGCGTTTTTGTTCTTTCTCGAATCGTTATTATTTAAATGTACGCGTTGAGTTAATAGAAGGCCGTTCACATTGTTCGAAATTATTATCGTGATATTAATTTTACGCGAAAATTTTGTAACGGTATTTAACACTAAACCTACCATGCGCGGTCAAATGACCGTTTTTGAAATTTCGTTTAGAATTTCTCGTATACAACGTTACTGTATCACCATGTAGCTTATTGACTTTTCCTATAATATACATACAACCCATTTTTCAATATTCACAACTTTCTTTATTGTTTGCTTTCCGAAAAAAATTTGCTAAAATCTCTTTCTATATTAAGATACATATGTTTTTTTGAAGCGGTCATTTGACCGCTCATGGTAGGATTAGGTATACATGAAATCTCGGTAGGTTTAGTGTTAAATAATCCACCCTCTTTGCGATGTACATGTTACCCATATTTGTGCGTGTGACTGTATATACGTCGAATTTTACGAACGATAGTGTACGTTTGTAGAACCAGAGGAAAAAGATCCGAATAAATAAGGAAAATTTCGAGCAGACCGATCGGTTCTTCCCACGTTGGATTCTGTACAAGTGGAATTATTTAAGGGTTCGGTTGGTGGAGAAATAACTCACCTGGACACCCTGTGCTGGGCGATCCTCCCGTGACTGGGCAGCGTGACGTTGCTGTCGCTTTTCGACCAGGTCACCGAATTCTTCGCGTCCGGCAGCTCGACTTTACCGAGATAAGCTTCGCAGAACAATCTTGCCGCGCCTCCCAGTGGGACCAGCTGCGAGGCTGGCCGATACGTTGGCAAAGGTTTACCCGTGTATCCTCCAGACTTCTCACCTGAAAACATAAAAGTTACAGGTTCTGAAATAGTGGTCGAGGCAACGTATATCAGTAGAATCAATAAAAAAATATAGGGTACTATTTAAATATTTGATTGTGACCTTCACAGAACTCGAGCGTTATCTCAAGGTCAAATAATTATCACTATCATTTGATGTCACCCATGTAATATTACACAACTTCAGTTTTAAAAATGAAACCACCCTTTTTTAAACACCTACAACGATAGTCCCTTTCATTAGGAATCCAGTGACTATTATTATTCAAGGTCATTCATGGTCACAGAAAAAGGGTGGTTCCATTTAAAAGAATGAAGTTGACCTTTATATTTCAAAAAAGAAAAATTTTTTGGCATCGTGTGAGCTCCATTGAACCATTTAATTTTGTCCTTAAGACATTTGACGTATCTTTAGAAACAACAAAGATATTTGGGATGCGAACGTTAGGCGACTCACCCTGTATAATATGTATTTAGACCGTAGTCTGTATTTGGACCGGTTTTTCTACGATCGTTAATTATTCCCGTGGAAATACCAGCGGATCGTTCTATAAACGAGTGTAATTTGTCCTCCGAGGAGTTCACTTGTTATCGAAGAAGCTCCTTGGAACGTGGATACCGGCGTTGTTCGACGAATCCACGTCTACGTCTCCGTTCCGACGCTCTATCGATGTCTCGTGAGATCCTCGACGAACCCCGTCGATCTCCGAAGAAACTCGAGAACCTCCTCGAACGGTGAAATTTCCAGTTTAATGGGACCGTGAAACTTTCGTTTCATCCGCGTTTCTATCCATCCTCGCGACAGGAGTATTTAATCGACGGTTCTCATCCGTATCCGCGAGTCGCGAACCCGAACGGCGAGAGAACAGAAGACGACAGAGCTTTTCATAACTCGGTTAAGAACGAACCGGAGGGCTTAGTATTTCCACGGGAACTGGCGAAATGTTCGCGGGTGTCGGTGAATTACGCTTACGCAAAAGTGGCGTGATTAAAGAGATTTCCATTTTCCAGGCCGATTCGTTCCTCTTCCGTGTTTCCCCCACCCTGAGCTGCGCACGTCGAACGCGCCTTTACTCGCGTAAGGTAATTACGAAAATTTCGTTTCGTTTCCTAGGGATTATTGAACGGACGAAAAGGCCAGGTTTTAATCACGACGAACGGGAATCGTGTTCTCGAAGACCCACATCTCGAGTGGAGAAACTCCAATAACAGAACAAATTTAGCAAGAAGGACTAAAAAATTCCATAAATTACGCTCAATTATTCCTGCCTCGAAGTCTTCCGAGGCAATTAATCGTATTCGAAGCGACGAGTTTACCTTCGTGTCGTTTAATTCGACTGGAATCATCCGCCTATATTCCGACCGATTCACTTTGCATCGATCGAAATTATCGGGAATTGTCGAAATTATCAATCGAATTATCGGATGCGCGGTTACGTCGGGGATCGTTACGCCGTTTCACCAAGCGGAACGGAATTTCCTATACGTGAATTCCTCCCTTCTGGATGATCGAAGGACCCCCCAACGGGATTAACTGTCTTCTTCCTAATTCTTTATCTTCCCGAAAATGGAATTAACCGTGTATCCTGTCTGAACTCGAACGCGAAGCTCGGAAGCTTCCCTGAGAGTTTCGACCTCGATTTCGAAACGATCGATTTCCTTCGACCGGGTTTTAGATCGTAACAGGAGCCACGTCTCGCGGAAACTCGGGAAATTCCTCGGATTCATAAACGCGTTTACACGGCGAACTTAATATAAACTGTTCTGGAATTTTCCGGCTACGCTCGAGTTCGTTGCTAAAAAAGCACTAACCGTATTTTCGCCGAGTAACGTTGATGTTTTACGAGGGGTGGGGGCAAAAAGTGTGGAGGTGGCCCGTTCGATATCTCCGCCCGATACAGTAAAGTTTTCGATAGTACCCGAAAATCAGGACTGGAGCCCGAGTAATATAAATAATATAAATAAATAAATAAAATAATAATAATACATTCGCCAAATATACATTCATATAATAGAAAGAACTTATTGTAAGAGAATTAAATAGAGCACTGCCCTGTAACGTAAACACACACGCAGATCAGGGATTGGATCGACTGGGCTTTCCCAAATGCGCTGCTAATACCGATTACGCGAACAATCCGTGGCTGGTATCGTGATTCGAGCCTTTCAACGCGAATTAAAAAGGAAGGGCAGTGGTGTTAACGGAGGTGCAATCCGTCGTTCATCGATTTTTCAGAGTGCAAACCGTGGATTCAGGCCGGAGTTCCATTAGAATAAAAATAAACTGTAACCATAGTGAATTACTCGATGGTACCACCTATCGATATACAGGGTGTAACAAGTGTCGTAGGTCCCTGAAATGAAACACTCGTGAGGTGATTTAGACCAAGTTTTTCCATAGCAGAAATGTTATCCGAGGTTTTGTTAACGAGATATTAACAAAAAAACCTCTACCAATCAGACCGTGAGTGTGCCGACCGAGTTTCGATTGGTCGGGGTTTTTGCGTTAATATCTCGTTAACAAAGCCTCGGATATCATTTCTCCTAAGGAAAAACTTGTCCCAAATCACCTCACGAGTGTTTCATTTCAGGGACCTACGATACTTTTATTACACCCTGTATAGTATTCATCGTCAACCAGTTATGGAACTCTGGATTGTTTCGTAAAGGTACAGAGTACAGGGAAATCCGTGTTCCAAGTCCCGAAATCGACCTATCGTCTCGATAAGAGTCCGTTCGTTCGTAAAAATTCACGAAACCCACGGGAAAAGTATACCGCCTTTGAGGAATCCGAAGTCACGGATTCAGAGCCATCCCCACGGCGTATCGCCGTAAGGAATTCAGCGTTCTATTCGCCATTCATCGATTTGCCTCGCGCGTGTATTCATGAGTCGGGAGGAGTGTCGAGGGTCTCTCGATTCGAGGCAGCTCGAGATACGAAAGAAATACCAAACCAGGCGTGTTCCTTGACGCGACGGTCGAGAGGAGGCTGGTTTCTCGGCTCTGTGGCTCACGTCTCGTGTCGCACGTGCATCGTATCGTATGCTGGCGTGCATACATAGCGAAATTTTGCGGTTGGTCAGGACCACCGGCTGCAATTCCCCGTGAAATACGCGAAGATACCCCCAGAGACATGGGTAAAAATCAGTTTGCACGTGAGACCACGCGGTGTTTTGCCTCCGCTATTCTTGCGGCGACACTTCGGTCTCGATCGAAGGAACGTTTATATTTTTATTTTTATACGTCGATTAGATTGTAGATATTATAATTATACGAGTGATTGTCTTGGGATAGTGAATGAGGTCGCTGTAATAGAGAATCAATAAATGGGAGGAACAGGTGTAAGGTTTGGGTTAGGAATATTTAGAATGGAAGGAACAGGTGTGAAGTCTGGGTTAGGGAAATTTGTAAATGGGAGGAAGAGGTGTGGACAATTACTAAACGGTGTATAACAAATGTTAGCAGACAGAATTTAGGTACATGTTAGTTGGTAGTAACTGGGATGTCTGTAGTTCGATCGAACACGTTTCACGGGTGACAGTAATAGCGTTCCAGATGTATTTCAGAAACTAATGAATATACAAACGAAAGTAGAGAGATTCAGAGTGTCACAACAAATTTTTTCCTCAATTAAACATATTAAACAATACTGAATACAAATAAAAACTTATATTTCTGGTAGATTAATACAAAAATTATACAATAATATCAGTGTCATTTCTGAAAGTGTCAGTAATTGGGAGTTATACCCCAGGTTCAACAATTCCAATCAATTCAACGTGTCCGAAGTTGCGGAACGATATACAAAAAGGCGTGCGAAACAGCCGACTTAGAACGCTCTGGGGACGGGGAAAAAAAGGAACTGGTTGTTCGAACGAATGTTTCGGCGTCGGAACAGGTTTCCGTCGGCCATAATGAAACGCGGTTTTCTCGGTGGACGCCGCCGCCTCCTGCGACAGTTTTATTGCCGTGTGGCGCGTTCACCGGGTTATTCCTTCTTTTGTCCGATAGTTTACGCGGCGTTGGTTTAGGTCGGGGGGTGGAGAGGGAAGACAGAAACAGGGTGGAAAAGTTTTCCCAAGGAAAAGCCAGTTCGGGGCCGTCGCGAGTCTGTCTGCTCGACGAACGAACGAGGATTCTGTACGATCCTCTCCTATCCGCGTTTCTCTATCCGCTTGACGCTCGCGTCTTCCCTCTCCCTTCACCCCTACGTGTCGCTTAACGTCCTCTGGATTCTTTTATTTCACGGAACTGTCGGTGTTAGACGCACACGGCTGTCCTGAGGATTTTTCCGGGAGAAAAGCGGCGAAACCACCGAACGCCGATGGAAAGGGGGGACCATTGAGAAGAAGCTTCTCCAGGAAGCTACAGTTACTTTCTCTATTGTTTAATACTTCTCTCTGGAGTTTATTTTCATGCGCGCACCGTGGTCTCGAACAAAGGTTCTCGCGAGGAGACTGGATATTCCGGCTCGGTTGACCCAGATATACGCCCTCCGGAAGGATGATTGTAGTTGGTAACTTTCATTTTACGATTTGTTTTTTGGTACCGTGTGTCGTGTCTGGCTGACATATTAATGGTGGAATGGATAGTTCTTTTTTTAGAACTTACCGTGGAGGTAATAGAACAATACGGTCCATTTGTATGGATTGTAGAGGGACAAATTATGTTATTATGAGAGAAATTCAAGCTCGTCTGGGTTAACCCGCTGTGGCAGTAGTGGCCTATTAAGGGTTAAAAGAATCACGAAATTGTTGTCGATTCGAGGATCTTCGACAACCGAACAATAGTACCATTAATACACGGTCTTCCAATTATTCCGAAGAAAGCAGTCTGATTTGGTCACCATTGTACATTAACGTTTCGAAGCTGGCGTTGACCCATCCGTAACAAGGCTCGAGGTGGCGGTTGATCATCATCCCCCGACGATTACTCCGGTCGAATTTTCCGAGGATTCTCCACGTCGAATTTCACGGTGAAACGATTCTGTGTTTCGGGA